GATATGCTGAATCTAAACATGTATTTAGATTTTTGATTATGGGCCCAGTTTTCAAGTTGGTCCAAATCGGGGTCCAAAATTAAACTTTGTTTGATTTCAACAAAAATTGAATATATGGGGTTCTTTGATATGCCTTATCTAACCATGTATTTAGATTTTTGATTTTTGGGCCCCGTTATCAACTTTGTCCACATTGAGGTCAAAAGGGTCCAAAATTAAACTTTGTTTGATTTCATCAAAAATTGAATTATTGGGGTTCTTTGATATGCCAAATCTAACCGTGTATTTAGATTCTTAATTTTTGGTTCCGTTTTCAAATTGGTCTACATTAAGGTCCAAAGGGTCCAAAATTAAACTTAGTTTGATTTTAACAAAAATTGAATTCTTAGGGTTCTTTGATATGCTGAATCTAAACATGTATTTAGATTTTTGATTATGGGCCCAGTTTTCAAGTTGGTCCAAATCGGGGTCCAAAATTAAACTTTGTTTGATTTCAACAAAAATTGAATATATGGGGTTCTTTGATATGCTGAATCTAACCATGTATTTAGATTTTTGATTTTTGGGCCCCGTTATCAACTTTGTCCACATTGAGGTCAAAAGGGTCCAAAATTAAACTTTGTTTGATTTCATCAAAAATTGAATTCTTGGGGTTCTTTGATATGCTGAATCTAACCATGTATTTAGATTTTGGATATTGGACCATAATAGGTGAATGTCCAATTTAAAATTTTTAAGTTCTTAGACCACATTCAATCTGTGTTAGAAACCTATGCTGTGTCAAATATTTAATCACAATCCAAATCCAAAGCTGTATCAAGCTTGAATGTTGTGTCCATACTTCCCCCAACTGTTCAGGGTTCGACCTCTGCGGTCGTATCAAGCTGCGCCCTGCGGAGCATTTTATTGGTTATTATCTTGAATATTATTATAGATAGAGATAAACTGTAAACAGCAATAATGTTCAGCAAAGTAAGATCTACAAATAAGTCAACTTGACCAAAATGGTCAGTTGACCCCTTAAGGAGTTATTGCCCTTTATAGTCAATTTTTAACCATTTCTGTAAATTTTTGTAATCTTACACAAATACTTCTCCTCTGAAACTACTAAGACAAATTTAACCAAACTTGTCCACAATCATCATTAGGGTATCTAGTTTAAAAAATGTGTCCGCTGACCCCGCCCGCGAACCAAGATGGCCGACATGGCTAAATACAGTACATAGGGTAAAATGCAGTTTTTGGCTAATATCTCTGAAACCAAAGCATTGATAGCAAATCTGACCAGATAAAATTGTTCATTAGGTCAAGATCTATCTGCCCTGAAATTTTCAGACCAATCAGGCAACACGTTGTTGGGTTGCTGCCCTTGAATTGGTAATTTTAAGAAAATTTTGCAGCTTTTAGTTATTATCTTGAATATTATTATAGATAGAGGTAAACTGTAAACAGCAATAATGTACAGCAAAGTAAGATCTACAAATAAGTCAACATGACCAAAATTGTCAATTGACCCCTTAAGGAGTTATTGCCCTTTATTGTCAATTTTTTACAATTTTCATAAATTTTTGTAAATTTTTACAAAATATTTTCGACGATAACTACTGGGCCAAGTTCATTATAGATAGAGATAATAGTAAGGAGCAAGAATGTTCAGTAAAGTAAGATCTACAAACACAATTTTGTCATGAATCCATCTGTGTCCTTTGTTTAATATGCACATAGACCAAGGTGAGCGACACAGGCTCTTTAGAGCCTCTAGTTTTCTTTGTGCTTGAAGATATTGATTTGATATTTAGTATATTGTTTGATCAAGACAAGTTACAGATCAAGTTCAAATTTTGTTCCAATCTGATGATCTTGTGCAGAGTTATGGTCCTTGGACTTAGAAAATTAACTCAAATAATCAGTTTTTCACACTTTTTGTGAATATATAGTTTCATCATGACAAGTTACAAATCACGTTTGATTGTTTTTCCGGTCTGATGATTTTGTGCAGAGTAATGGTCCTTGGACTTAAAAAATTCACTCAAATAATCAGTTTTCCACACTTTTTTTTCGTCATGCTTGAAGACATTGATTTGATAATTGTTATATAGTTTTATCATGACAAGTTACAGATCAAGTTCAAATTTTGTTCCTATCTGATGATTTTGTGCAGAGTTATGTTCCTTGGACCATGGAAGTAATATTTAAAAGGAATAACAACGACTAATTAGCATGTATTAACAGCCTGCAGAGCTCTGTACTAAAGTCATATGATTTTATCCAATTATAGTCTCAGCGGCAATACCCCTTTGGTTACTATCTGTGATACCGCGGTTGTAAAATGGCATCTGGAATTTCTTATCAGTCACATGATTTTATCGAGTCCGGTAATTATAAAGCACCTGTGTGAAATCCGAGGTTTATTAATAAGAAGGTGGCGCTGTATCATATAAAACCTCTACCTTCAGAAAGAAGTCGTATGATGTAAAAAACTTGAAAAACGGACGAGAATTGTTCATCCTACAACAGTTTAGCATGGACAATTGTATTTAATTTAGCATATTTTTGCTTTTTACCGTTTGTTTTAAACTGTTCTAAAAGTATTTTACGGTTAAAAGCGGATCCCGAGTAAAACAGTTAAATACCGATGAATCGATCAGGTTTCACATGATGTTGAACAAAATAATGTAGACAGATGTAGACATAGAATATTTTACTGTTGAAATGTGCCAAGTTTATCGAGATTTATAAAAATATTTACTTTCAAGTAATTGATTACGTTATTGAAACTGGACAATTAAAATCGGGATCATAAGTTCGTAAACATGTTAAATTTATATCTATTTTAAAAAAGTGTTTACAATTGAATACTAATATTAATGTAGCACGTTACACTGAGCAAAAAGAAAATCAACCATACAAAACGAGCTTGACGCTATCTGTCTAACTGCAAATTTATTTTATATGAATTTGTTTATGTACAAATTAAAGAATAGAAACGTTTAAAATTGTGAATATTTGATTTGCCTGGTATATACGGAAGACTTGGATTATTCGTATTTAATAAAAGGGGGTCGACACATATTTTTTTGTACAATCATCTTCTTAACTTTCAGAAATGGCTTCTTAATTAACTGGTTTTAAGTATTAAAATTGAAAATGATCCACCCTTTTTCTTAAATTCAATATGTGATAACTGTCGGCCTAAACTATTAAGATCGAAAAAGACATAAATAGGAAAAATAGACTAAAATCAACATTGAATGACTGACTCTATTCGGTAGCGTACAGCAGCGGAATGTAACGAGTGAACTATTCGGGTTACTTCGTACGTACATACGACAACAACTGGTCTATTCGTAATTTTCCAGGAACACGAAAATGACCAAAAGTGTCAGTGATTTGATCTATCTCATGCCGAGAGTCAATTACCATGCCATATATTAAACCAATTAACGAGTTATCGAAAGATGGGCGGTAACGCAGATGAAACCTTTGAAGTGACGACGTTGTTATTCCTTTCAATATTACTTCCATGCTTGGACTTAGAAAATTCACTTAAATAATCAGTTTTCCACACTTTTTTTCGTCATGCTTGAAGATATTGACTTGATATTTGTTAAACAGTTTACACCATGACAAGTTATAGATCAAGTTAGCATTTTGTTCCAATACAATGAATTTTTAACCGGTAGGGGACTATGTATCGCCATGCAATACTCTCAGAATGCTTGTTAGTCCCCTACCGACGAAGTCGAAGGGGACTTTAGGTTTGCACTTAGGTTTGTCCGTCTGTCTGTCCGTCCGTCTGTCCGACCATCAATCCGGCAAATCAGTTTTCCAGACTTTTTTTCTTCATGCTTGAAGATATTGATTTGATATTTAGTGTATTGTTTTATCATGACAAGTTACAGGTCAAGTTCGATTTTCACGATTTTAGCTTTTCTCCTTGTTCAGTTAAAGCCCTTTCCCTAGAAGTAAATTTTTGATGAAATACCTATTAAGTACTTGATTTCTGTTTAAAGGGAAATAACTCTTTTTTTTTTAAAGATTTGTAAAAGACATTGAATTAAGATAAATGACATTTTGGATTTTTTTCCTTTTCTTTAGTAAATTGTTTGAAGAATTTAGTGGTAGGTTTGCTCCATTTCAATGAATTTTTAACCAGTAGCGGACTATGTATTGCCATGCAATACTCACAGAATGCTTGTTTTCCTTGGGCTCACTTTTCATGAATTGAGGAAAAATGTATATCCATGGATATCAGATTTTGTCATTTTTGGCATAGTCTGCCTACCAGCCTATACAAAATTTATATTTAGTTGAACATTTAAATTCATTGTTTACCTATACCAATGAAATCAATGAAAATTGTTATCCCACTGATAATAATGAATCGGAAGATATTTGACATTGTTGTTGCCCTTTCTGTTCTTACTAACTTTTTCTTGTACCTTTTGCCTGTTTTATCATTTACCAACCCAAAAATTAAACTTTGTATGGCTTTAAGTAGTAGCTGGTTTTGATTTGTACATTGAAGCAGGGATCCCACTAAGGCAAGTCCATGAGTCCCGGCCTTGCTGTCCTAAAGATTTGGAGTAAGATTGATTATTGTACTCAGACTCAGAATTCTACCAATCAGAATGCTAGATTTTGTGTTTGAAGCACAAATTTTGTACTCCTGAGTACTGGATAAAGTTGTATGACCATAGGACCAGGACTCCTTAAACTATTTCTGGAATCATCATTTTCAAAACTGCTGAGTCCAAAGATGCATCAAGATTGTAAATGTGGTATCAACTGAGTACATACATCATCATTTATATCAAAAGTTAAAATCTAAATATGATGTCATTTCCTTACTCTTTACTGTCATCCAGACTTGGATCAAAATTATATAGCAATAAAATTGACGAGTCCTGACGCGCCTTCAAAAATCCTAAGTGAGAACCGTACATGGAAGTAGGTTTAATTTATTAACATATCTCTAAATAAATACATGTTGTTTTCAGATTACCACCAGGGTTTACACAGCTCCGTAACCTAACACGGTTGGGATTAAACGATGTTTCCTTAGATCGACTGCCTCAGGATATTGGAAGGTAAGGTTATAAGGATAGATTGATTTATTAATTTTTGTGTGTAAAATGTCCAGTGACAGATATTTCATGCATATTCATGACAGTAAAAAAATTGAAGTTGGATCCTGTTCATGTACATGCTACGCTTGTTAAGCAGATAAGTGCTTGAAATAATGTATCAAGAACAAAAAGAAAATAATTTGCTTACGTAAAATATTGACAAACTATTATGACATTGTCTTTATCTCTGTCTGCCATTCATAAGTTTAATTCTCTTTACAATTTCTATTTTCAGTTTATCCAACTTAGTATCATTAGAACTTCGTGAAAATATGATCAAGAATCTTCCTCAGTCTATTTCATTTTTAAGCAAACTAGAGATTTTAGATTTAGGCAGCAATGAGATCGATGAATTGGTAAGTATCTGAAATACTGTGAGTCATAACCAAAACAAATCCTAGATGGTGATATAACTTAAAAAAAGTTTTGTAGGGCAAATTTTTAGTGAAATTTCTAGCAAAATCAAAGATCATAGCCAAAAATCAATTTATACAAATAAAAAAGAAATTGGAGCAGGATTGGATGAGAATCTGGGATCTATATTTATGGCCTTACAACTAAAGCATACATCCCTTTTGTTTGAAGTAAGAAATATTAACAGATTTTACTGTTAGAATGATGTTGGCTGATCAACTTAAATTTTTTCATCTTTTCTTAAATGATAACATTCTCGCTATACCTGACACAATGACTTTTTTTAAGCCCCTGCCATAGTGGAGGGGGCATTAAGTTTTACCCTTGTCCGTCTAAACGTCCATACATTCGTCCCAAAGTTGGTTTCTGTTCTCTAACTTTAGTTTGCCTCAACCAAATGTTATGAAACTTATACACAATGCTTATTACCACAAAACACAGATCAAGTTCAAATTTTGGTGGCATCACTTTTTTACCATTCTAGAGTTATGCCCTTTACAAATGGAAAAATTGCTGAATTTTTTGTTTCCGTTCTGTAACTTTAGTTTGCCTCAACCAAATGTTATGAAACTTATACACAATGCTAATTACCACAAAACACAGATCAAGTTTGTATTTTGGTGGCGTCGCTTTTACCGTTCTAGAGTTATGCCTCTTTACAAATGAAAAAATTGCTAAATTACGTTTCCATTCTCTAAACTTAAATTTGCCTGAACTAAATGTTATGAAACTTATAAACAATGCTTATTACCACCAAACACAGATCAAGTTCAAATTTGGGAAGTGTCACTTTTACTGTTCTTGGGTTGTGTCTCTTTATAATGTTATATGCAAGCGGGGGCACCACCATCTGTGTCCCATGGACACATTCCCCAAGAAATATTTTTCTTGCCCAAACAACAAGATAAAGAAATACAATAATATAAGATGGTAGCTACAATTAAGAATATGAACCTGTATGTGAGTTTAACAGAAGCCACTTTTTCTTGCAGCCAGAGATCATAGGCACCTTACCTAGCCTTCAGGAACTATGGTTAGATGGTAACGATCTCACTGAATTACCTCCGGTAAGTTTATCTTTGTTGTATCACTTTCACTTACTCTTGCTTTTGTACTGAGTAAAGTAATTTAAATGCCAGTCTGCCTAAGAATTAGGCAATGCCTGAATGGTGAAAACATGACAAACAAAAAAACCCGCTCAAGTTCAAAATGTATAATGATACATGTACATGTACATGAATATAACATTGGTTTCCTCTTCCTGTTCTTGTATATCAATTTATAATTTGGTTGAAATGCACTAGAAATTATCAGTTCAAGTGAGCTAACTCTGTAATTTGCTCTCATTCTAACCAAAAATTAGAGGTTTCTCGAATTACCAGACACACAGAAACAAAAGACCTACCATTTCTAACTCAGGGTGAGGGTAAACTTCAACATAGGCTTGTTGGGTCGATAGGTTTTTTCGACCATGTTTTGAAATTCATCTAAATTACCTGATTCTTACAAAGACTGGCACTTGATATTGGTATACCCCTATATTGCAATTACCTTGTACGTGTCAACATTTATTTGTTCCTTCTAGCAGAATTTCCAATGGAAACCTTGTTATAAACAATGGTAAAATATCTGTTCCTTTTGGAAAAAATATTCTATACCATCCCTTTATTTTGTTCCAGTGGGAATAAAAGTCCAGAATATTTCTTCCATTTGAAACTAATATTATAAAGGAAATTCCATTGACTTTATTTTATTATTTGGTCAGCAGATCAACAATTATTAGTTGTAATGTGTGTTTGCTTTTCTGATCTGTTAGATATCTACTTCATGTTTTCTGATACATTGGAATATGAGTTGAGGCTAGCTTAGCACAACAAAGTTTACAACTTCTTGTTTTTCTTATAAAATACATGTTGTATTTTTCAGAAAACATTTATGTACACAATAATTCACAAAAGGATCAACACTATTGACTAATAGTAATAAACAGGGAATTAAGTTGCTAGTGGGTCAGAAACTGCTTTCCATTCTAAAATACTCAGCAATAAGGGAAATTTCATATTGTTAATTTTCTGTGTTGGTGTTTTGTGCAGTATAGTTTGTCTTTTTCTTTATCCATCAGTTCATCATGCATGTGTGCAAATTTGGAAGAATATGAATTCTTAAAACCAACTTATTTTCATGTATACTCAATCCAAATGAGAACTGAAGAAAAAATATTTTGGAATTCCCACTTTTATCAACCAATTCTTATTTTAATTTACAAATCACCTGATGCATAAAAATGTCCCAAAATGGCATTAAAAGGGACCATTACTAAAACAGTTGGGTAAATACTTGATCACTCAAATTTGCAGTGATGAATGCAGTTCCTACAGGTGAAAATACATTTTTTGTACTTTGGCTTGCCTTGGAAGTATTCCACTTAAAGATATACATGTACCTTGGCAGATTACAAGTACATGTACATGTATTAATTAAGGTTAAGTGAACGCACTTGAGATAACAGACTCTGATCTAGGTCAGGATAGCAAATAATTAGTGGATGAGAGAATAATTGTTGGCTATTGTAATTCAACAATGTTAGAAATTTTTCATCAGATTTAGTAAATACATAGTTACTGCAAACTATGAAACACAATGTCAAGATAGAAAGATCTCTAATTTCTAATATAATAAATAATTTAAAATGAAATAGTTGGGTGTATTTATTTATCATTGTTCAAATGATCAATTAATTTTCTAAACATGGCACTATCATCAGTTATTTATTTTATGTTCGAATAATATGGATTTTTTTTAAGAAAAAATTAAAATTGTAAAATTTATTTTTGTGTCTGAATACTTTGTTTTATTTTGAGAATAGAAACATTTTACACATTTGTTAATTTCTATTTTGGTCCAAAGATTTGAATTTTTTTTTTTTTAGAAAAGAAATGATATTGGCATGATATTGATTCACTTACAAAGTTTAAGCTGACTGGTAATTTATGGATCACGATTTGATCATCATGTAGTCTGTTGTCACAAAATTTCTATGGCTTATCAAAAAACTACTTGCTAGATGCTAGGCTATTATAGATAATGAAAAATGTAAATGCTTGGTAGTACAATTAATGGTTTATATATAATACATTAGGACTTTATAAGGAGCTACATATTGTATCAGGGTTCTTACTAAGGATTTTTGAAGGAGAGTCCTAGGACTCCTCAATTTTGTCTATGGTGGGTCCCAACAGTGTGGAAAGGAACTTTGATTGCTATATCATTTATAATTTTAGTCTCCATGATAAAAAAGAGCAAGGAAATGACATTAAGTTCAGATTATTTGTTAATTATGCCCCGCCGTAGCGGAGGGGGCATTAAGTTTTACCCTTGTCCATCTGTACGTACGTATGTACGTCCCAAAATTGGTTTCCGTTCTCTAACTTTGCCTCAACCAAATGTGATGAAACTTAAACATAATGCTTATTACCACAAAACACAGATCAAGTTTGAATTTCGATGGCGTCACTTTTACTGTTCTAGAGTTATGCCCCTTTACAAATGGGAAAATTGACAAATTTTTCGTTTCCATTTTCTAACTTTAGTTTTCCTCAACCAAATGTTATGAAACTTATACACAATGCTTATTACCCCAAAACACAAATCAAGTTAGAATTTTGGTGGCCACACTTTTCCCCATTTATTTTTGTTATTAATTGATGATATATGTGCTCCGTTGATACAACATTTGAAGATATTGATGGGTATTTGGACTCACCAGTTTTGGAAATTATGAGTCCTGAGAGTTTTTTTTTGCTTCAGGACTCATGGACACGCCTTAGTGAGAACCCTGTTGTAAAGACACCATGCCTGAATGTTGCCCTCTATTTGTCTTTTGATTAATTTATTGAGGGACTTTTGTTTCATTGACTTATACCCACACATCTTTTATATAAATTTAAATTTTTTTGTTTCCTTGACAACAATATTTTTCTTGCGTATCCCTGAACTGTAAAGTAATAAAATAATATGTGCATTTATCAATGCCAATTGTCAAATGCTGACTTAAAATGCGAAATGAGCTGCAACCGTTAGAAATTGACCTTATGCAAATAAATATCAACACATCTGTTAACCTATTTTGGGTTGAAAAAAACTTGTTGTGGAGTTTGTAACTGTTTGAAAATTGAGTTGATATAAGAACCCTACAAAACAGACCAAAATTCATCTTTTATTTTGTGTTTGAATGTTCCAAAATCAATCCAAGTCTTAAACATGTACATGTATATGTGCACTTGCACAAGGTTGATTTCTATGCGACACAGCTCAAATGTAGATCATATTGATCTTTAATTGAAATACATACATGTGTTAAATGTCCTTAAAATTATGTGATAAATTTTCGTTCAATAAAGATTAAATATATAAATTAACAAAAGCTTTTACTGGACGTTTGCTCTTCAAACATTTGGTTCTCTATGATTTTCCAGTAGATATATAATCCTCATTGATTTGCATGGAAGTTGTTGAATTTCTTTGGTTCTAAGAACGTAAATGTTGATACGTATGTTGTTGATATTTGTCGTTAAGATCAGAAATTTTTCGTGTTTGATTACTGATCAGTGAATTGTTACGGAATTAATATCTGACTTCCTACAGAGGATGGCTAATTCTGTTTTCTCCCAAAGGATATTGGCCATATTTTTGTACGATATTGGTTACATCTGTACCGAGATGTTTCCTAGTTGTTGTTCACATGTCCTTAACTCGGGATAATTTTGTTATCTCTTGTCAGTTTCATTTATTGATTATCTCTATTTAATTAGTCCCTGATACAGAAAATCATCTATATATAGCTTTAAAACTTCTCGATATAAACCTGTCTTAATCAATATCGGATCTTTAAGGTTAATTTGGTCGGTGTCATAATTATAAGACGTTGTAACACTGGGTTAATGATGCTTGATCCTACTTTAGTAGGAAATGCCATTTTAGAATCAACTGGATTTACAGACCTCCTGTTAAATTGTTAAAAATTTTCATCTCCAAATAAAAATTGGTTAGAGACATAAATATATGAAGACACATTGGAGGGTGGGTTTTAGTTACTTGAGCCCCCTTTTATTTGAAATATTTTTTATGCCCCCGCCGTAGAGTTATGCCCCTTTATAAATGGAAAAATTGCAAAATGTTTAGTTTCCGTTCTCTAACTTAAGTTTGCCTCAATCAAATGTTATGAAACTTATACACAATGCCTATTACCACAAAACACAGATCAAGTTTGAATTTTGGTGGCATCACTTTAACTGTTCTAGAGTTATGCCCCTTTATAAATGGAAAAATTGCAAAATGTTAAGTTTCCGTTTTCTAACTTAAGTTTGCCTCAACCAAATGTTATGAAACTTACACACAATGCTTATTACCACAAAACACAGATCAAGTTTGAAGTTTGGTGGTATCACTTTAACCGTTCTAGAGTTATGCCCCTTTATAAATGGAAAAATTGCTAAATTTTTATTTTCTTCTAAATATCAAGTTATCTTTCTTTGTCCATGATTATAGTTGAATCAACTACAATCAATGCTTTATACAATGCAATGTTTAATTTTGACTTCCACTGATAAAACACAGATCAAGTTGAATTTGGGTAGTGTCACTTTAACCATTATTGAGTTATGCCCTTTATAAATCGAATTATTGCAAAATTTTTAGTTTCCATTCTGTAACTTAAGTTTGCCCCAACCAAACATTATGAAACCTATACACAATATTCATTACCACAAAACTAGGATCAAGTACAAATTTTTTGTTTCCGTTTTTATACGACCGCAAAAAAATTTTTGTGGTCGTATATTGGTACGACGTTGGCGTCGTCGTCGTCTGGCGTCGTCCGGCGTCGTCCGAAGACACATTGGTTTTCGCACTCTAACTTTAGTTTAAGTGAATGGATCTCTATGAAATTTTACCACAAGGTTCAATACCACAAAAGGAAGGTTGGGATTGATTTTGGGGGTTATGGTACCAACAGTAAAGGAATTAGGGGCCAAAAAGGGGCCAAAAATAAGCATTTTTGTAACTTCCA